TAATTAGTATATGGCACCACTTTAGATTTATTATCTAATTGTTTGTATATATAGTGTTCTCCCTGTGTATATAAACCCCTAGGTAGAATGCTCAATGACAGTGCTTTTCTCTCTCTCTCATCCTCATCTTAGAGTCTTTACAGACTTGTAAGGCAACTCTTTAGCCTTCTTACTTGCCTTGTGTCTAGCCAACACAGGTAAGGTTTATTGCCACATTTATATTTCAACATAAATCAGTAAGTTTGACCCTGTGAGATAATGATGATAAGAAGCTTTGGTCCTCATGCATGCCCCTGGCAGCATCATATTTCTTATGATACTTGATTTGAATATTATGATTATTTTATTCATTTATATGTGACAATGCAAGGCAACAGTAGAAATATATAGTCCTATGTAATACAATGTGGAATTCAATTTGTTCCTATCAGTGTGCTACTGTGTGCTATGGAGTTTTGGCTGGAGGCTATGTGAGCTATATAAGGAGGGGGATGCAATGATGCAATGGGTACCATGTAACCTACACAGGTCCATGTGGTATTCTTTTTCCCTGATGTTGTATCAGCATTTGGGTGGGCACTGAGACCTTGATCATATCATAATGATCTTGAGTTGAGCCATTCTAGGTGCTGATGAACATGGAACTGCTGACATTATGTAGAACCTATAACATACAGAGTACCCTAAATCACCAGACTACATGTTTCTCTCTTGTAATCTCAACTGTACTGTAGAGAAAATAGGGCCCACATTAGGGTCAGGCTGACATGAATTGTACACTATCCCAAGACATTGTTCAAAAATGCCCATCTTTCCACACTCAGCTAAACCTTAGAGAGTTCTATGCCAGCTGTCCTGGAGCATTCTTGTTCATCCTTTTTGGGATACATCACATGTATTAGCACTTAACACTTAGCAGAGAAAACCATAGTGAGATTGGAACAAGAATGCTCCTTAATAGATGGTTTTAGAAGCCTGGTACAAGCAGAGGAGAGAGTGGAGGTGTTGCTGTCCTCATATCAAGCAGGTGCATGTGACATTCCCATTCTAATCAATCTGTTACCTGAGACTTTCATTATTATTCTAACTCAGCTCACGTTCCCACACTACTGAAACAAGGTACGTTCGCACTGCGCATCTTATTTCGACCTTGAACATCTCTATTAGCATATTCTGAATACTGTCTGATGCAAATATATCACGTACGTGCTATTATCATGACCGAAACAAGCCGATAGCTCGACTGTCGCACGTACACGTCAGGTCGGACAGCGTACAGACAATATTCCACGTCCAGTTAAGACTACGTTCGTTGAAATCATGTACGGTATGAGCGCACATAGCGAATGTGGCTATTTTGAAATGGGCACACCAATACGCCTTCACGATGGGCCGATGTAACACCCCAGACTGTCGCTCCAGACATACTCGTGTGCAAGTATCTTACCAAGAGTCCTATATGCTTCCATGTTGGCAAAGGGCACGCCGGTTCGTGGATCCATATATTGAGCAGCTCGGCCAGTGATAGGACATGTTTGTACAGGTCGTGCTGCACAGAGAACGTCAGGGAGTCTATAACAAATGCCATAAAGTCAATAGTACGTACTCAATGGCCGCCCCTTGGTAATATAGACCCTGAGATCCTCCCACTTGACATGATCACCAAACATGGCCTTCATCGTACTCGGCCAGGACGGCCTAGTGGCTGCCTCAGATTGGCCCAGCTCGTGAATAACGTAGTTCTTGTTGACTATTTCTTTGTATACCAAAGGCTTCGGATGCAATGGATGTGTGATCTCAGACGAAGAAGGATAGACATGTGTAGTAGCCGACGATTGTGACGTGTATGATTTATTTGGGGGTTGATAATAATATGGAGGGTAGACAGGCTGAGCTGGTGTTATCAAAGAAGTGGCGGGGTATGCGAGATTGTTGACGGGCTGCGAGAAAGGAGGCGGGCCACCGTGTGATAAAGCCGTGGGATGAGATTCTAAAGTTATTGTCACTTCTTCCGCTTTGCTGATCCATCGGACAAGAGGTCCCTGAATACTTGTGCGTACCAGGCGAGCACGCTTACGCTTTTCCTCTTCCAAAGTGAGATAGTTACGATGTTCTTTGATATTTCCCTCTTCCATATCCAACGCACGGGTAATTAATTCATCCTGGGTTGGAGCCCGTATCGTCGTCTTCACTTTCTTTGGCAAGGTAGACTGCGAGGTGTGAGGATCGTTGACGATAAACATTCAGATCGACACAGAGCACACCTTTTTCTCTTCGGCATCTTTCATTCTGTTGACAGTGGCAGATGTATTCAACATGGTATGCATCCTGCGACTCTGTCTTTTGGCCTGTTCTATGACTTCTCCTGTTTCGGCGTCGACGACAAGCCCCAGTGACACACGACGTTTCAGTTTCGCTGAACCTGACTGAGTGGAAGTGTATTCTTGTGGATGGAATGTTGCCTTATGACGAGCGTGGGCTAGGGCAGTCACTCTGTCTAGTTTCGAACGCGCAGCCTATACAAATGAGTCGATGCGAGTTCATTCAGGCTTCGCATACCTTTCGCCCAGTCCTCTCTTCTACTCGAACGAGGTTCTCTGCAGCGGCATCAATGTCTTCCTGAGCAACCTCTTCATCAGTACTCTCAAAGTCAGATTCGAACGCATCCTCTTCGTCTGCCCTTGCGCATCATGATGATCAGAGGACTTGTACGAAGCGGACAAAATATTACCCTTCTCGATCACGAAGTCAATGTCCTCTATATCAACACCAACATCCTCAGCACGGAATTCCGCCAATGCCGCTTCCATCCTACAATACAAGTCAGTAAACCAAATGTCTTCGGCCGCAGCAGCCCTACCTATTGCCAGCAGTACTCCGTTTGGATCTACGCATCACTAAGGACTCTCCTTCTTGCGCCATTGCAGTGCGGGATTGTCTCAGTCACCTAATGATCAATCGTTACAGAAAACAGGCTTGGTGCAATAGGGCCGGTAGGATGTTGCAGGCAAAAGTGGATCAATGTGAATTGGACTCCTTATGAGCGCCTGGATCAACAGAGATAAATATGCGATCGGGACTGTGCCACCTTGTGTCACTAGTAGCTATTGTGTCTTCGACACGTCTGGGTACGAGACCAGATCTTGTCACCGTAAACTTGCGCTGTCGTCAGGGACTATGCCTCGAAAACTAAAGACGATTCCTGGTCCTTCGAGGTTGTCGAAAATTATCGAGAATCTTACAAGAGCCCCACGGCCCCAGCTCAACAGCGTCAAGAGCTTGAAAGTCACATTAGCCTCGCGGAATGATCATTTTGGAGCAAGGTGAGCAGATTTTACTACTGCATAATGCACCGCGTCATAATTATTTTACGCTAGACATTTCGTGAAGGAGGACCTTCCGCGCATACGTTACGTGAACCCCGCTCTTGATATTCAGGTGAACAAATTGCCCAAATCACTCCAAGATTCGTGGCAGCCTGAGATGATCGTTGAGTTCCGTGAGTCTCACTAGTGATATTTCCTTGCAATGCCCCACTCACTGCCAGAGTTGGCTTTCCTTTGCTCTGTGTGCCTCGCTTGATCCGCCAGGCGATGGGTCAACGCAAACTTTGAACATGAATCAAAAATGGTCGTCTGCTATATTTCAGGAACTCATGGACCTCGGAGGCGGAGCACCATGGCAACGCTGGAAAAAGGAGAGGATTGCTGCTGGGTTGCCCATTGTAGATCCACCTACTGTGAACGTCAAACCATCACAAAGCATGTCTACGGAAGAAATCATTTTCGGTGTAGGGCGGCCAAGGACTGGAGCTGCCGCAGTCTTACCTTAATCCATGTGTTACATACTTTTCGCGTAATCAATCTAACCCAACGATTATTATACCCTCGTGATGTGACCCTACTCATCATGAATTCGCAAAGTACAGTACATCAATCCGCGAACCAGCTGGCAACCCATATGAGTAGCCCCACGCTAACTAGGAGACCTGATATATCATCTAGGAAGACACCTCCGATCTGCAGATACGCGTAACCATTGGTGATGAGGGAAGGAACAGGTGGCGGCAGGTGAGGCAGAGCTAGTGTCAATAAAGTAGGCAGCTGTGGGGTATCCTAGAATTATGGTAAGTATAAGGTGGGTCGGGAGCGCGGGTACCTCGACCACTCACTAGTTTAGAGAACATACGCCATGAATGTAGGACTATCGCGAGTGTGGTGAACGCCCAAAAAAAAGGCTGGTCACAAGTTAATGGTCTTCGTCATAGCCAAACGATGTACGACCAAAATTGCTTACCACAGGCTGCACTCCCCAAGTGTCCCCCGCATCCTTCCAGCCCAGTTCTGCCCAGCGCCGCCATGCGTTCTCTGGCTGAGATCCGTGTGTTCGGCGATTATAATCATCTGGCTCTTTCCATATGACAAAATACGCGAGCAGAATCCAGGAGGCAAGAAGATGGATGAAAGGCATTAGCCGTTGTAGCCTCGTCTTGGGTTTGATCACCGCCGCCTTCTGCGACGGCATTCCCGACATACCTCCTGGCTGTGACATGGTTGACATGAGTGCTGCCAGGGGGTCATTCTCAGATGGTGACATAGAAGGGAAGGGACCGCCGGAAGCTAGAGCTTCCTGCAATTGCCTGAACTGTTCTTGAGGAGGGAGAGGTTGCTGCATGCCATTACCGGTATTCGCTGGCTGTGATCTTGGCGGTCGAGGTGAGGTCCTGCTGAAAGGCGGAGGCGTCGGAAATATGGTCTGTTCACCGACAAAAGTTTCTAACGTTGGCCGGTCTGGGAGTGGTGCCAGTGGTGGGTCTAGGAGTGACTGGTCAACGTCTGGACCCGCATGTAAGTTGCAAGCCACGTACCATCGTGCATATAAGCCGGAGCATCTTCGCCTCTGGCTGAGGACGTCAGTTTTGCGAGACGGTCTCCCCCACGACTGAGTATTGCTTTTCTGCGGGCTTCAGCTCTGGCTGCGGCAGACATGATAGTTTCGTGTTCGTCAGGGTGCGGTCACTCGGTCCTCGGGGAGCGGTCAATGGCCAGGTCAATAGCCACAAACACAAGCGCGCTGTATAGTCGCGCGCTCGGTGCTTGCTCGGTGCGTTTAATCCAGTCTCCGGCGTTACACAAGCGTCGCTTCAACGTGTTTCTTCATCTCTCATCAGCATGTCAACGCGCCAGGACAAAGCAACAACAGAGCGGCATGCAAAGACTCTAAGGGAGCTGCTCAAAAGGCCTGAGAACAAAGTATGTGCTGATTGTAAACGGAATGGTCAGTGTCGTTGGTTATCTGCGAGTATTCCCTAATTGACAGTTGGTTCTGTAGACCCACGATGGGCTTCGTGGAATATGTGCGCAACTGCCCACGACATGCCGCATGGTCTAGCTAACGACGTGTTGTAGTGGCGTCTTTCTATGCATTCGTTGCTCCGGCATCCATCGATCCATGGGCACGCATATCAGCAAAGTCAAGTCAGTAGATCTTGACGTTTGGACGCCTGAGCAAATGGCCGTAAGTGTTAATTTCTAAATCTACTGGCAGATTCTCATGTATGGCACTTTCAGTCCATCCAGAAATGGGGCAACCGCCTAGCTAACTTGTACTGGGAGGCACATTTAAAGCCAGGGCATCTCCCGGCGGACCAGTATGTATTTTATGTGTATCTTCACGAAAATGATGCAAACTCATATCTAGCAAAATGGAGTCCTTTATCCGTTCAAAGTACGAATCTCGTCGGTGGGCTCGCGAGGGGCCACCGCCGTCCAACCCGTCGACCCTTGATAGTCAGTCTGCGTCCCAGTCAGCTCCTCCGGTGCAGACGACAAAACGATCGCAGACGCCCGTCGAGTCTCCTATAACAGCGACCGCCCCTCGCCTATCGGTCACTTCGCGTCAACCACAGCCACACCAACTGCTCTCGTCCAGCGTTGCAAACCGTGCACAACAGGCCGCATCACAATCGGCCGTCCCCGCTCCTCAAGCGCAGGTACCCCAAGCCCCCGCCGCTCCCGCACCTTCCGATGATCTCTTCTCGCTCGATTTCCACGCTCCCACAAGCACTCCATCCAATGCTGTCCCTTCCGCGCCGAAGAAGGATGTTAAACAAGATATATTATCCCTTTTCTCGACTTCGGCTGCGCCCGCCCAAGCATCGTCGGCTTTTGGGCAGTTTGCCCAGCCCCAGAACGCGTGGAGCGCTTTTAATACCCAACCCGCGCAGCAACAACATCCCACACCGGCGACCAGCATGATGGGAGCAGCAGGCGTTGGCATGTGGGGCACCAGCTCAGGATGGAATACAACCCCCGCAGCGCCAGCACAACCTAATTTATGGACCACTCCAGCCACGCAGCCAGCCGTTCAGCAGCAAAGCTTGTTCTCGACCAGCGATGTGTGGGGATCGTCTGGTGGTGCCAATGCAGGTAATGGTGATTTATTTGGATCGAATTTGCCCGGTATGCAAAAGAAGGACGATGCTTTTGGAGACATTTGGGGTGGCTTTAAGTAGAGGCACCCGGCACAGTAGGTGTACGTTAAGGGTAGGTTTACTCTGACGGATACAAGACTAGATCATGTTACATTTGTGTCGGTGCTGTATACAGCGTCAAACGGTTGTACAGATCATTCTATTCTGTTCATTGCTTCTTGGTGCTATGCAAGCCCCATGTCCTACAAGATGAATGCTGAGAAACATGATGAACAAAAGGTTGCAACTAGTGACATACCCTCTCGAGCATCCTGCGTGCGATTGGGTGGAAGTTGATCGCTGATTCTTTGAACGCTTTCACCGCCAAATCATGATCGACTTCGTTTATACCTCTGAATACCGGCCGGCAAAGTTTCATGCGGCCCTTTATAATGCCGGTGCCATCGTTTCCAGTTACCCAGGCTGCCGCAGCGGGTGCGAACGCTTTCGCAGCGGAGGACTTGGGGTCAAGGAACGCGAATTCGTAGAAACGGAAACGGAGCTCGGCATTGGGAGTGTCAGCAAAGTGATAGAGGGTGCCCATCAGTGTGACATGGGACGAAGGTAGGGCAGCGTAGGACTGAATTCTTTCGAGGAAGAGAACTAAGCAGATTTATTAGGAGGGATTGGCTCATTCCGGCGGGGAACATACTCTTCTGATTTGTGTCCAGAATGTCGACATCCTCCTCCTTGAAAGGGAGCTGTGCCACGTCTGAGATTGTTCTTGATGCGTCCCACTTGGCAGCCAATGCGTATGCCTGTTCTGCGAGAGTATGATCGTAGTCCATCTCGACGGGCAGCTCGATGCCTTCGCCATAGAACCACGCCTATGGCACGACGCTATGAGCCATGCACGATCGCCTGGAATAACAACTTACATTCCAGTCAATGCTGTCTAGTAGCCTGGTTTTCTCCTCGCCTCCATGCTGCTTGAAGTACGAGTACAGATGTGATTTCCACTGCTCTGTAGTAATACTTCGGCCCAAGAAGGTCGAGACGTAGTCATGAACGTAAGGGAGGAAAACGTCTAGACCACCTATGGTTCGTTCTACCCGACATAATATTACTATTAGTATTTTTGCATCAGACGAGGCTAGCGTCTCGCTCACCGAGATGGAGCAGAAGGTTCGCGCCCTTGTCGTATGGAATCCTGCTGTACGCATCGTCGGGATCCTCTCCCTTCTCAAACTCGATTACGAGACGCTGGTACTTCGGGTGGTCCTTGTACCGTTTCAGATCATCATACATTGATCTGGACTCAACCAGGTAGCTGAAGTCACGATGCTGAGGAGTATGAAGATATTGCATGAGGAGTCGTTCCGTGTACGTCGTCCACCCTTCGTTAAGCCAGAAGTGTGTCGCCGATGTTGGGCTAGTTTGACAAAGATTATTATCAACGAACCTATGACTTTGGAGATGAGACATATACCTGACACCATTGCCAAACCATGAATGAGACAGCTCATGTACCACTACGTCGACCTTTTTGGGTTTTAGGTCAGACAAATTTATAACTGCAATGGGTCCGAGAAAACTCACCAACGAGCGGTCGCCGACGAGGAGAGCTGCGGCGCAACTGTTAGGTATGACCGATCAGGTACGAAGGCAAACGTACTCGGTGTGATGAATGAAAGGCAAGTGTTTTCCATGCCACCGTAAGGGAAGGATGGCGGCAAAACTAGCACGTCGTATACACCAAATTTGTACGGCGGCAATATGGTTTCGGCTATGATCAAGGTCCTAAATTTCGAGAAAACAGCCTACGTCAGATGGTTCACCTGTCCCAAGCCAGATGGGTGTACCTATTGATGGCTTCCTCAAACTCCCAGTATGCGGCCTCTATGGTCTCCGGTTCTGCCCAAACCCCAGTCTGCCACTCTTTCCCTTCTACTCTGGGACAGGCACGGTAGCGGAGATTGCCCACGGCGATGGCAATAAGATACGTAGGGATTGGAATCGGCTAGAATTCGATCAGCCATTACAGGGCCTGTCGGCTATGCAGCGAGGGCAGGAATAAGATGGCAGACCTGGTTGTAAACGTAAGTCACAGCATCTTTGCCAATCACTTTCCCGTCGTGGGTTGGTCCATCAGAGGGAGGGGACACACGGATAGCAGACAGCAAAGCGGGAAGAACAGACGTCACTTTGGCGGAGTAGGTCTAAATACGCGGCATGTTACATTTGATAGAAATCTTGGAAAGTACGAGAAGACGTACGACTTTGACGGAGGAAGTGTCCTGCAGTGGTGCCATCGTGCGCGCGTAGATAGGTTGGCATTGGCTGAACAAGAAAGGGAAAGATTTCCCTTGTGTCTGCCTAACGCAGGATAAGCACAAGTACGTTACCAATAGACAACGCAATGTCGCACTCTTTTGCCAGCCACTGGAGGGCCATGGAGTCCTTGCTAGTCTTGTAGAAGATGGTGACTTTGACTTTAGAGTCTGTCTTGAGCCCAGCAGGAAGTGAAACGCGAAGAGCGGACCCCACGACAGGCTGAGGAGCACCCAGGTCAAACTGTAAAATTACAGTTAGCTTAATTACCGCGTATTCAAAATGCATCGATGCACACGCACCTGTGCAATCTTTCCCTCCACTACTGCGCTCTCAATCGCGAGTGCAGACGAGTCGAAGCTAGAGAAACATACAATCAGACAAACACAAGTCTACGAGACAAACAAATGCTCACACGACGTGTTGTACGTTCTCCTTCCTCACCGTTAGGGTATGAGTAACAGAGCCAGAGATGGTGCTCTGCGCAAAATCGACCGTCCAATCGAAATCCACATGCTCGGATGCGATCTCGGTGTAGTTTGACTGCGTGGTGATATCTGAATCGACAGACATTTTATATATGCAGGTTCCTGGAGTAATAGCGATGAGTACTGTCAAAACGGGTGTAGAAGACAGCTAAAGACGTTCACACCGGCGCGATCTAATGCGACCCAGTGAGCAACTCAGTGTACGAGACAGAATAAGTTCTCGGACGCGCCGGAACCTGAAGACAATCAAAAATTCATACCTACCTGCCGTCACTCGAGGCAGATCGATGAAGTCAAGCAGGAAGACTCAGCCACGGGAGTCGGAGGACTCGGACGCGCTTGAGTAGATTTAGCGACACGGATCTACGATCACATGTGCACGTCCAGGTCGATCTCGTGAAAACAGCCGACGCTCATCGAGCATTCACGCCATGCCCAAACGCGCAGATAAAATAGGTGGCCACACATTACATTTCCGAGAAGTGATGTAACACTGACGACGGAGCGCTGCCAGGTTCACTCTTATTCTGCCCAGACTGCGGCACGCTGCTCAATTTGCCCCAGGATGGTGACCTCGAGGTCCCTTGCGAACAATGCGGATACAAGGAGCCTGCTAGCTGTGAGTCTCGGCTAATCCTCCTACGTTGGCCAGGCTTCACACGGCGTGCAGCGTATGAAAACATTGAAATTGTCACTCGGTCGCACCCGGACGCCTTCCCTTCGCCGCTGCTCCAGAAGCGCAAGACGCAGACGAGGGTACACGATGCTAACGAAGCCCTGCTTAAGGTAAATTGAACAGTGGTACAAGTCTATTTGTGCATTCTGAGAGATCTCTTCTTGTGCTCAAGGTGACCGAGAAATGTCCGGAGTGTGGACACATGGAAGCGTACTCGCAAGAAGCTCAGGTATGAGGCGCCGTCACTCGACGTGTGGATTACAGCGCTGACGAGATTCTACAGTTGAGAAGCGCAGACGAGGGTTCTACCATATTCTACACAGTGCGTATTCCCATCCGCATGACAGCCCGTGCTGATTGGCTTGCTCTCCCGCGCAGTGCGTCAAATGTAAATTTGGGTGGCGGGTCAACAACTGAGTTACACTCGGAAGCTAGTGGCTGCGTGCACAGTGCGATAGTTGTGTGGTAGGGAGACCATTTACCTCGGCTGGGCGGGATAGAGATTATAGATATACCCCGGCGGTGCAAAAGAGAGCTACGACTCCGAATCCTCCAAGAAGGCTTGCGAGAGAAGCTACGGCGGCTTCGCGGACGGGGAGTTTGTCATTTGGTAGTCTGTTTTAATTAGAAAAACATGAGGGGCATCACATTGCATGAGGGGCGAGATACACACGTGGAGAAGTAAAAGGCAAGCACGAAGGTCACACCGAGCAAAACGAAGGCGAGGTACGGAAGGAGGCTGACCGGAACGATGGGGGCGAAAGCTGGAAGAGAGCGGTGGAGAGCCTGGAAAGGGAGCGAGTTGAATGACGAGGGCCGAGAGGAGAGAGCGAAACGTACCTGGATGGCTTGGTAGTCGGCCATGGCTGGGGCGGAGACTGGAGCTGGTGGCTGCGGTGAGGGCGTTGTCACTGACGTACGTGGCAGGCAAACACGCGTCATCAAAGCCCATATCAACCCTCCTCAGCCCGCCTCTCTCTCTTCAGCCTGCACCACCACCACTACCACCACCGCCCCTCGTACCCTCTGTTGCACGTCTCATCAGGAATCCGAAAGGTATTATTTTGCGCGTGCGCTACTCTGTGTTCTGCGCTCATTTGTGTCCATTCGGCCCCCGTTGCGCCGCTACGTCACCAGATGTCTGCCTCGCAAAAGCTGCAACAACACCCTGCTTTCACGCAGGCTCAAGACAAGGCCAGCTACTATATCTCCCAGCTTGACAAGGAGGTACATAAAGCCCATTCTACTCACGCGACGCCTCGTTTCTGACACCGCACCGGTTTTTGTCACGCGACCCCTAGCTGTCAAAACACTCGATTTTCAATACATTTGAGCAGCGTACACAGGTGCCCAAGAGCTATGCCTTCATTGGTGCGGTTCTGGTGCTCTCTGTCTTCCACTCCATCAACGCCTCTGCCGCCCCGGTCTCTAACCTCATCGGATGGGCGCTGCCCGCTTTCCTCTCTGTGCGAGCGCTCGAGTCGCCGGGTCACCAGGATGACATTCAGTGGTTGACGTATTGGGTCGTGTTCGGGTTCTTCAACTTTATGGAGAGCTTTGCGCTGCGGGTTGTGCTCTACTACTTCCCGTGGTACTTTGCGTTCAAGAGCGTGTTCATTCTCTGGCTGCAGCTGCCTGCGTTCCGTGTACGTGCCTCGCGACGGCTGCATGCTACTGTCTTCTAACTGAGCGTACGTAGGGCGCGCAAAAGTTGTATGGAACGGTGGTGAAGCCGGTGTTCGTGAATGTGCACCACAAGACAAGCGGGTTGTCGGATGCGACGGTGACGGCAGATGGGTTGCGTGATCGTGTTGCGGTCGCGACGGAGTGATGTGGGTTTGCGGTCGATGCTTGAATATGCTTCTTCATCTTCGAAATTCGTCTAGAACGTTGTCTCCATATCTTCCTCATTTCCTTGTCTGCCGATGGTCAGCTGTTAGTAGCTGGACGGAACAGTATCTTAACGTTATGTGGCGCGTGTGATAACCAATGTGTGCGAGTATGATCCTGCGTGGTCGTGCGACTGGTGAGTGATTTATAGCCAGGTGTTGTCGATATTCTGGTGCATGTGCCTGGGGCGGGTTGTCGATCGATCGTGTGAGGGGACGGAGGCCGGCTTGTTGATAGAGATTCTTGCTGAGAGACCTCGTTTGTCTGCGCTGGCCTGGTTGCCCGCGCTGGCACGCACCTCTCCTCTGCCGTCTTCGGGCCTGGCTATCTTTGCCGTTCATTTCGTTATCTCAAACTGTACCTGGGTGGTGATATTTCTGCCGCACGCAAAACGGCGATCCTGAATCCATATTCTTGGTGCGGACGCACATGATAGTTTTCGCCCAGGTCCGGTATGAGATGCACATGTCGACGGAGGCTTTACACTGGTGATTGACCATCACCAACTGTCAAGGGCCACATAACCTGAGCCGAAGTAGCTGTGGCTTCGAGCGGCCATCGCCATTCCCTGCCCGGACGCTCGGATAGGCATCCGTGTTCTTCCTCCCTGCGGCAAAACAGAACGGGTCTCTATTAATACATTGAAACCTGCCTTCCCAGAGTAACTCGACGGCCAATTTGTACTTGCCACAGCAGACCACCCAGCTAATCCCAGGTGATCCTGCGTGGGATGCTCATCTGCTGGCGTCGAGCATCGCAGGCGAGCCTCGCGCACGAGACATGCAACGTCGCGTAGGCGAGGTGCTAGACGACGTCGTGGTTCAAATCGCGGTCTGGCCGTCGCCGGAGAGGCCGACCAGGTGGAACAAAGAAATGCTTGGCATAAGGTTGGCTCGTCCAGGAGGATTGATGGCCATATGGGAGGCGTGCTTCAGGATCAGGTCACGCCGATAGCAGATGCGTTCCCGTATGTATATCTCCTCTCGTTCATGCTTCCTTTCCCCCGCCCCCCTTCCTCCCCCCGTCGCCTCCCTCTCAGTCAGACATGTCTCTGTCCGACTATTCCATCGAGAAGGACAATGCGAGTGGCAGCATCGAGCTCGCTGCCCCGCCAGAGGTCTACGAGCGCCGTACCGGGCTCAAGGGTCTCTACTACAACCCTTGGGTTCAGGTCATCATGCTCGGCTTTGTCTGTTTCATGGGCCCTGGATTATTCAACGCCCTCAACGGACTTGGTGGAGGAGGTCAAGTGAGCACCACCACCAGCGCCAACGCTAACGTTGCCCTGTATTCTACCTTCGCGTTCACTGCGTTTTTCGCTGGGTACGCTTCCTACTCCTCTGCTGCCGCCTTATGTTCACCGTCTTCCTTCACGCAGTTCCATCAACAACGTATTAGGTCCCCGCCTCACGCTTCTCCTCGGAAGTTCTGGCTACGCACTCTACATCGGTTCTTACCTGTAAGCGCTCCCCTCCCGCATGGTCCGTTCGGTGCTAGACCCCCTCGTCCTTCAGCGCTGTCAACATTCACCCCAATGCCGGAGGGTTTGTCATCGCAGCTGGTGCCATCCTTGGTGTTTGTGCTGGTATGCTCTGGACCGCCCAAGGCTCTCTCATGTTGGCATACCCAACTGAGGGCCAGAAGGGTATCTTCATCGGTATCTTCTGGACCATCTTCAATCTGGGTGGTGTCGTTGGTGCCTCTGTCTCCCTTGGCCAGAACTTCCACTCAGAGGTCAGTACATAGCGTATACTGTGATGTGTTTCCTACTCACTGGGGTTTTATTGTTAGGCCAATGCTGGTGAGCTTGATTTGTACTTACAGCGCCCAGAGTTCCAATGCTAACGCCATTCATACATCCACTAGTTGGCAATGGCACATACGTATGTCGCTCCCCCATGGTAGAGGATTTCTGTTTAACGTTCCTCTAGATCGGATTCCTTGTTCTCACTCTCCTCGGTGTCACCATCCCGATGCTTATGGCGAACCCTAAGAATATGCTCCGTTCCGACGGCACGAAGGTCATGACCGTACGCCATCCGTCTTGGAAGACAGAATTATACGGTCTGTGGGTCACCCTGCGCACCGATACGACTGTCATCCTCCTCTTCCCCATGTTCTTCGCCAGTAACTGGTTTTACACCTGGCGTAAGTTTCGCTTACTCTTCCCCCGTACGAACCTGAACATCTCTGCCGCAGAATTCAACGACTACAATGCCGCCCTTTTCACCATCCGTGGCCGCGCATTGAACAACCTTGTCTACTGGCTCTCCCAGATTGTCGGATCCGTCGGCATCGGGTTCCTCCTTGACCAGAAGGGTCTCACCCGTCGCTTCCGTGCCTTTGCTGGATGGGGTTCGCTCTTCATCATGGTTTTCATCGTCCACATCTGGGCGTACTTCTACCAGAGGTGATTTCAGCCGTGGTCGTTTGAGTGGGCCAAATTAATGTGTTTACGCCGCAGGGACTATACTCGTGCCACGATAGCAGTTGAAACGACTGACAATGACAAGATGGACATCTACGACAAGGCCTACGTTGGCAGGATCTGGCTCTACATCTTCTGCGGTATGCTCGATGCGATGTGGCAGACCACCGCCTACTGGCTTATGGGTGCCATGTCCAACGATCCCTCCAAGCTCGCGAACTTGACTGGTTTCTGTATGTTCTCGTCATGTACACGTGGACTACACAATACTCACGTCCAACGTAGACAAGTCTCTCCAGTCTGCGGGCGCCGCCGGTGTCTGGCGTGCTGATGCTGTTAGCCTCCCGTGCGTTATTTAAGCAATCTGCACTGCAGCGGCTTCTGACACAGCACGTTCCATAAATTAGGTATTTGAACATTTTCATCTCGACTTGGGTTCTCCTTGTCGCAGGCCTGCTCTCGGCCTTGCCGATGATCTACACTCGTGTCAAGGAGCACACAGATGCTTCTGACGAGATTGTCGACATTCTGTGAGTTTGATTTATCGATAGTCGCGATTCGCGCGTCCTGACTAGAGAATGCGCAGCACCGAATTGGAAGCTCCTGTAAGGCCTGAGCCACAGATTGCTGAGAAAGCTGATGCTTAATGGACACAAATTTCACTTATGACTTAATCGTTCTATCACGTTTGCGTTGCTGTATCACTGGTAATGCCATCTTGTCTTCACTACTGTGGTATGAAACTGTACTGCGTAGAGATTGTGACCGTGAATGTCTCATTTCTTGGGTTTGTGGTAGTGTACATCAAATAAAGACATGATTCCTCTGATTGCTTGTACAAGTGCGGATATAACGGCGCCGGGGTATGTTGCGAGACTCTACGAAAGCGATAAAAGCGTACACTCAGAAGATCGTCGCGAGAGCATCGCGATCATCTACTTCGCCCATGGCGTTGAATGCCTTCACGTTGGGGCCATTCTTGCCGAATGTGAACCCAACCCATACTCCCCGCGAGAAGGGCTCCTCTTTCTCCCTGACCCGCTCTACGTTCTTTTGCTTCTCTCTCACCTCGGCGTACTTGGCCATATCATCGGGGGAGGTGAAGTCGTCATAATATCCGGTATCGAGCTCGGAATCCAGAGCTGGGACAAAGGGGGCTTTGACCCCGCGGAGATTATCCCACTTGACGCCGTGGAAGAAGGGGTGGTCCGATACTTGGGAGAGCGTAGCGTATCGGACGCTCGCATGTGCTATGAGTCTGTCGACTGCATTGTTAGTCAAGTTGCTTATCGCAGATCATGGATACACTGACCTCGTCACAGCATCCCATGCAGTATCAGTGAGGTTGAAAATGAGATCCTCGGGTTTGTCGTATTCAGGCCTTCGGAGAACTTTGGTCCAGTTCTTCAGGTTTGTCCATGTTTCCTCGGGAGTGCTGCCGCTGAATGGCGGGAACCCTGCCAAGAACTCGAACAGTATACAACCCAGGGACCAGTAATCGACGGAGAATGTGTATGGCTTTCCGCGTAAGACCTCTGGAGCCATGTAGTCTGGCGAGCCGACGATAGAGTCTGCGTAACGAGGGTCTTGATTGCGGATGGAACGATAGATGGACCGTCTCTCAAGCGTCGACCGATGGATGATTTGAATATCTTTCACTTTGTCTAACTAGAGTACGGTTCTGCGGGTTTAGGATGTAAGAAATCGGTGGTAGGTGTAAGAGCTTACCTTGACCTTTAGTGACTCAATTCGCTGAGGATTCAGTGCTCCCGTTGCAAGGCCAAAGTCAGTCAACTTTACGTGACCAGTACCATCCACCAAAAAGTTCTGCAATGGGTCAGTCGAGCACAGGCATTCGAGAGTCTGTGATTTACCTCCGGTTTCAGATCACGGTGAATGTACCCTAGCTTGTGCAGTTCATTCACCGCGGCAAACATTTCGCTGATGTAGAACTTTGCATGTTCCTCTTTTAATACTCCCGAGTTGTTGAGTAGAGTACGGAAGTCCCCACCGGGGACGTACTCCATTGCAAGATAGACATGAGAAGGATCTTGAAACGCGTATAGTAAGCGAACCAGCCAGGGCGTCTTAGTAGCGGTCAATATGTCGCGCTCCACAAGAACATGTCGAATCTAGAGGACAATTTAGCGACTATTGACTTCATGCCGGCTAGACTAGTCACCTCATCCATCTTGAAGAGAGTCCGCTTGCGCATTTTCTTCAAAGCGCATACCTCGCCAGTCTCTTGTTTTCGTGCGAGATAGACTTCGCCATAGCCTCCCTGCCCAACCTGCGCGATTATATGAAACTGGTCTACCTTGAGTTTCGTCCGACGCTTTCTGAGGACTACACGTTCTCGGCCGCAATATGACTTGTATTCTTTCGCGTACTCGGCCGACGTCAGATTCCGCGCGGCGGTATCAGAGTCGAACTTGGCTCGCCGCTCTTTGCGAGCAGCTAGATATCCAAGCATTTGAAAGTAGTAATCCAGAAAGTCTACGAGAATTCCAACGAATTATTGGCAAGAGGGAATGTGGCGAATAGTGTTCGGAATAACGTGAAGTCCCATCCCGCAAGAACATCGTATGAATGAACAATGCAACTTAGCACTTGGAGCCAGACGGGTCATGGTCAGCACTTACATAGCTGAGCGACAGTGGCCTTTCGCTTCACTTCTGAGCTCTCTAACAGCTCTCTCTCCCACATCTGAAGGCCGTTCTGTTTAATAGTTGTACCAGGTTTTGCAGTTTCCATCTTGATGTCGTTGTCCACGGAGAATCCCTTAGCGGTAGTCATGCGAATGTCAGGTACGCCAAGTGTCATTCCTTTCGCAGTGTTCATGCGTACATCGACATAGTCTGATTGCTGGTGGGTTTCTGTCTGGGAGGACATTTTCGTCATGGCTGGGATGATCGTACTGACTGAGACCCCGATAACGGCAATGGTCTATCAGAGGACCGGCCGGCCGCGCGTTGCGTAGAGTCGTGGGAAGTCGTGTTCCAAATGACCCGAAAGGGAAATTTGACCTACACTACACTAAGATGGGCCTCATTCATACTGTGGTCCATCACGTGGTCTTCTACTGTCACACTTACATCCTTTTTGGCGGACGAAAGCATTGAAATCATCATCTCCTTCTTTGTCAGAGCATATAACAAAAATCTGTCTCAAACACTTTTTTCTTTACTATTATACACACAAATTGTTTGAGCTAGATTTTTTATTTTTGAAGCCTGCAAGGAGGAGAAGAAGAAACAAAGCTGTGTGAGGTGCACTGATGTGATGACTAAGCAAGCAGCTGACACTGCATGCTGTCCTCTGTGGAGAGAAAACAATTGAAAAAATGCTCCAGAAAAGTGTAAAATACACTGATCTCTGCTAAACCTGGGCAATTTATTTTGAAAGAAGGCTCCTAAAAATGTAAGAGAGGCCTCATTCATACTGTGGTCCTTGTGACAATCTGTGACAGGCATGTGAGATAACACTGAGGGTGGTGTCTATCATTGTCATATGCTGTAAGCCTGTTACTACTGTGAGCATATAAAACATGCTGCAAAGGGTGCATATAACCTCTCTTCTGCTCCTATGTTTTGAGGAGCCTTCTTTCAAAATAAATCACTCAGGCAAGTAGAAATCAGTGTATTTTATGCTTTTCTAGAGTATTTTTGTCAATTGTTTTCTCTCTGCAGAGGATAGTGTGCAGTGTTGACTGCTCAAGTTGCTTAGTCATTACATCAGTACACTTTGTGCAACTTTGTTTCTTCTTCTCCTTGTAGACTTAAGCTCAAACAATTTGTGTATATAATAGCAAAGAAAAAAGTGTTTGAGACAGATTTTTGTTATATGCTCTGACAAAGGAGGATATGACAATTTCAATGCTTTCACCCACCAAAAAGAATGTAAGTGTGACAGTAGAAGACCACATGATAGACCACAGTATGAATGAGGCCTATCTTAGGAGCAGAAGAGAGGTTATATTTATGTACTACAGACAAAATGAAGAGGCTCGCCAGTTCTACATTCTAATTGATTGGCTTCTTGATGTACTCAAAGTACACCACTCTGTCTGGTTGGTTTTGCTCATGGTTGATGGTGAGTTGAATGAGGTGTTGGAAGGTGGTAACAAGATTGATCATCTAGAGGTGTTCCTTCTTGAGGGGCTGGATAGTTGTTTATAGAAGAAAGGGGATGGTTAAGGCCAGGGCCAGGATAGTGAGGAAGGTAAGGAGGAAGAGGCCCAGAATGGCAGTGAGGAGGAGCTGGCTGTTCTCTATAGGGCACTCCACTTGTTAAGGGGCCTAATGACTGGGGATCAGGAGTTCAATTGTTAACTGGTACTAGGACTTATACACGCTATTGTCCTACTCTGATACTAG